AGAGAGAGAGAGAGAGAGAGAGAGACGTAATAAGCATAGACTGCGCATTGCCTGATCTTAGCAACTGTGCTCCATTAAAAAGATAAGGCAATATATTAAATTTAAATCTGTAGATATCAAGAGTAATGTAACCCTTTTATCTGCGAATGTCAACAATCGCGATTTCTTATTGGCTCCCTTTTTTCGACCGTCATTTTAGAACTAACCAATCTATTGTCTAATGAATGCTCAATGATTTTTAATATAATTGTTATAATTGTTAATATAACTTTAATATAAAAGTTTATATTAAAATTATATTTTAATAATTATAACAATTATATTACATTATTTTAATATAAAATTTTAATGTAGATTAAAAAAAGGATCTATTGTATTAAAATGAGGTGAAAATTACAAAAGTGAACGAATTTACTGGAATATTTATAATTTTGTCAACTAATCCATTGCTCACTTTTGTTATTTTTATCTTGTTTCAAAATACACAATTAACTCTGAGATTAAAATGGCTGTTGTTCGTATTTAAAGTTCTATATTGAATTACACCAACGCTTCTCTTCAACTCGACACTTTAGAGTAGTTAGAAAGAGAGAGAGAGAGAGAGAGAGAGAGAGAGAGCGAGCTGCCTTATTCTTTCTGAGTTAACAGTATGACAACTTTATATAGGAATGCGCAGTTTGTATCTATTACGTCTACAGATATACAAAACAATCCATGCAAACTTTGCGAGTTTGATAATACCACGATATATTTTCCACAGAGAGAGATACTCGTATACTCTCTCGGCAAGAGTATGCTGGCGCAAGATATGCCAGCATTTTATACCTGCATTAAGCTGCGAATACGGGAATTCGAATTTATTGGGACCGATTTTATACGCGTTTCCGACTTTCAATATACGTATCGATAATTGATATAAGCGCGGTAGAGCAGAGTGATAGCCGCGGTGACAGCGGTGGTCAGTCAATCGACACCGACTGCTGCCTTTTATTCGCGACGGCCTTGGATTACATAAGTCACGCAGGATATCCTCCCGCAATGCGAGGCCGAATGCATGTGAATGCAAATGTCTATTGTCTCGAAACGGGGTCACAATTTAATCGTAAAAACGACGCGCAGTGTCGTCACCTCTCGCTCTCAAGTATATTCCCGACACGCGATGAAAATTCATTTGTCTAATTTCGCAGAATTTATCGTAAGATTGTCGTAAGCCTGAAACGTGTCATTATAAAATCTATGCGAAAGTCGGAACTCATCACGGTAACTTTTACAAGGAGTTCTTCCGCGCGATGTAATACGCACTTGACTTTGATACACCACGTGTGTGGCGATTGGCATTTTAATGAAACGTCAATCAGGATTGACGTTTTCATGCTGTTTTGTTGATTTAACTCGAAAGTTATGACAGTTACTGATGATCGACAGTATTATACACTAACGTACGTCATTGATGTAAAGTAAAATATAACTGGCTGTCAATAAGAAATCGAGTATATTTGTCAAAAATTGTATTTATATTTCGCGTATAATTGGACGTTCAATTTTTCAGCTCATCTCACGAAGTTGCTTGAAACTCGCAAAATATAATAAGATCATTTAATCTCATCAACATATTTTTTTCTCGCTGCGTACAATTTTTCTCTTAGAATTAATAATCAAATTAAATTGAAAAAAACATTCAGAAGACGTACTTATCATTATATTAAAATAAATAGCGATACAAATTTTTACGATAGTTAAATCTCAAAATATATCTTATATAAAATTCTCTTTTTTAGAAGTTTGTCGAGAAAAATTGCAAATTTTGATGCTTGACGATTTTTACAGTTTCCAGAAATTTTATAATATATACGTTTGGCATGAGATATATTTGAGATTGTAAATAGAGACGTTTTACATTCTATTATCCCATTCTGTTTCGTGATAAAACAATACCATATCAATATAAAAGCATGCGCAACCTGCATTCGCGTTCGCGTTCGTCGTAAGATCGATCGTGGCGATCGCAGATGACATATAAATGGAGAGGGACACGTGGAAATTATTGATATTCTTCCGATCGATCACAGAACTGTCATGGCAAACGCGACTGAATTAGATTCTAAACGCCTAAGTGAAGAAGATAGCTATTTATAAACTCCCAGTGATTCTATCAATCTTCCACTTTCAATTTTTTTACAACCAAAACACATTTGAACAACAGATAACAATCCATTATACTTATTTCTATTCATTTATCGTCATTACTATTACACGTTTCGATATTGGTTTGATTTTTAGTTCTTTGTTCTTTTTTTAGAAGAATCCTCGAAGAAATAACACCTTCTTATATGTTCCCACCGGGAAGGAGCTTCGTAACTTTTCACTTTGTGTACTTTGTACTTCGTTTTTTATTTCCAGCGAGACGGGAATCAAAAGTGCAAAGTGAAAACTTACAAAGTTACTTTATAATCATTAACATTTGATGTTGTCTTACTCTCAACAGCAACTCGTCCGATTTTCATTCAACCCTCGGTAATACGCGGCATCACCGAGTCCGAGGAAACAGCCAAGAAGGACCCTTCGATCGTCAATGGAGAACTTGTATAAATTTTTACTCTTATTGTAAGTGGCAGTGGAAAAAAAAAGTGTGGTTTCTAGGGTAATGGGCCCTTCGCGCAAATGTCAATTTCCTAGGAGGTCTCGGGAAGGCAGAAGGCCTCTCCGTCTCTGTATCTTCCTCGCCGTCTTTATCTATTTCTATTTCTCTCTGAGGACGATTCGCGCCCATGTTGCTCTCTCTACATTCGGACTCGGCACACACAAATCATTATACGTATATCCTTGAAAAAGGCCGCAACACACGACGCGGACGACTGCGGAAGGCACGTGACTTAACGGGGAGACATCTCAGAAACGTGACATCCATGAGATGCGAATCCATTAAAATCCGCGCTATGTGTGTATTTTATTTATCACAAACATTCTCGGAAAACTCTAATTAGTTTTGTTTAATAATCACCGTGTGAAATAATAGAATCGCAATACTAACCATTGAAGCACACGATTGGGTCCTGCGCGTTTCTTTTCTTTAAAATACT